TTGCCTTATTTTTTTTATTGTGGGCTTACCAACCCAACATCATTACCTTATTGAATTTAATCCATTTGGTTTATGAACCCGTTTGGATTATAAACCTATCATTCCTAAGGCCTAAAGATCAATCAAAATAAAAATGAAAAATAGACAAAAACATAAAATGAAAAAAAGGAAAAAAAATAAATAATAAGTTAAGTCCCGAAAAACTATGATGTCTATAGGTGCCCCTTTTTTCACATTTTTTGGAATCAGGAATTGTGCAAAAATATATAGACAGCCATTTTTGTCCATAATAGCTATAAGAGAAATAAAAAATAACTTCTCTATCAAGACTCCACAACTTAAAAAGAAATGAGAAAATAAAACTCCTCCATCGAGGCTTTAAACTTTAAAAGGAAATGAGAATTCCTCTCTCGAGGCTTTAAAACTTTTCACAAATCCTCCACCGAGGCTTTGAAACTTTTAAATCTACTCCACCAAGGCTCTAAATATAAACTCCTTCATTGAGCCTTTACAACTTAAAAATCCCTCCATTGAGGTTTCAATATCTTAAGAATTCCTCTACCGAGGTTCCAATATCCCATCGAGGTTTTAATATCTTAAGAATCCTTCTACCGAGGATCTAATATCTTAAAAATTTCTCCACCGAAGTTTAAACATCTTAAAAATTTCCTCTATTGAGGATCTAATAACTTGAGAATTCCTCAACTAAGGTTCGAACATCTTAAGAATTCTTCTATTGAGGTTCCAACATCTTAAGAATTCTTTTATCGAGGTTCCAATATCTTAAGAATCCCTTTATCGAGGATCTAATATCTTAAGAATTACTCCATCAAGGTTACAAAAAGAAACATCATTTTTTGAATGCATATGATGCAATTCACTATCACGTTATGTAAATGCTTGACTTCTATGATTATGTCATGCATCCATGTTTATGGTTTTTCAAAGATTTTACAATTTCACGATTTTCAACCTCTCGTCATTTTCCTTTTGATTTGGATCAAATTTCAGCCTTGTACCATTCAATTAACTAACCTTCCATAGAACAACTCATCTATTTTAACACTTCTGTTACACTTTGTCAATTTAGAAATTCTGGAAATCCTTTTGGATTTTGTTTGAACTTTCTTTATCATCCTTATATTCCATTCAAAGCAATTTGAGGCTTTTTCATGTTTGTTACGGTTAATTTATTCATTATCATTTAAAATTTTATGAAAAATATGATGCACTACACATTTTCCTGATTTTTTTAAAAAAGTAAAGAAATACAAAATGAAATATCCATGAAGGCATGATTTTTATTTAGTGCAATGGAGAAAGAGTAAAAATTCCAAAAGGGATACAGCATCCACGTAATGAATATTTGAGCAATTGTGAACAAACTAAATCCAAAATCCCTTCAAAGCAAAAACATTTGTTGATGTCCTTAGTTCTTTTTGAATATTTTCAATTGACCCTTGCCCTTGTGTTGTTTTTTCATCTTCACATCATCTTGCCCCTTACTATCCATCTTTGTGCTCAAGTCAACTTTTTTGGTTTTCAACTTGCACAGGTTTTTGGGTTTAAATTGCTTTTTTGGGTTTTCACCTTGAACCTTCTCTTTCCTTTTTTTTTTTTTTTTTGAATTCAAACTACTTTTCAAGTTTCAACTTAAACTCTCTCTTTTTTTAAGTATAATATTTCTTGACTGAATCAGCATTTATTAGATTTGGGAAATCATCCCTATCCATTTCCGCTAGGATCAATGCTCCTCTTAAAAAGCGTTCTTTACCACATACCTTGATAAGGTGAAAGCTTTTATGAGAATAAAGGTTAGAAATATGAGTGTTTAAGCTCGGAAACTTTCTATAGTGAGGAAAGGTATGATCTTTGAAAATGA